TAGTGTAATGTCTTCGTTTTTATCTTTTGAAAGGTTTCTGTAAAGAAAAGATTAGAAGCAAACTCAATGGCTAAGGCTCGAGTTGGACTCAATTCCATTAAACAGATTCGCCATCTGTTCCCAAGGTACAACAACCTTAGCAGTATTGTGTACTGTCAGATATTACCACTTGCCTAAACGAATCGTCGGAAGCAGGAGTGCAGAGAAGGAGGAAGAAGAAGAGTATTTTCATTCGTGTGCTTGAATGAGACGGCAAGGTCTTCTTTTATATTTGAATCGTGTAATGGAAACAAATCACTAATTGATTGAGCGTTTAATGCCAATAAATGTCATTAATTACACAATTAAAGCATCCGTTACAGAATTCAAAAAATAGGGACCAAAACTATAAAGTTTAGCAAAAATAAGGGTAGCGCGCGAGTTTTTGGAGCTGCATTCGTGTCCACAGGTCGCGCCCATGCATGAGTTCGGTGTTTTTGGTCTACGAAATCCAATATTTGCACCCCCTCTGCGCGCGGGTAGGAATTGTAGCATAACCATAGACACAAGCTTGTAAGCCTTTCATGCATTCAAGCTTATAAATCTTATTTGGTTTGGTCTTTCTACCAATGTGGGAATCATTCCCATATTCCTCTATTTTTGCTAAATTTATTCTCAAATATCCATCTTTGAGTATCGATATCCCATTCACATATACTCTATTTTGGACATATAGTATATCGTTTCGAAGTCCTCGTGGAGGAGAACACAAACTCACTTAGAGTTAGTTATATATACAACATATGTATATATCTATATATGTCCAAAGTTAGTAAAAATATAAATATTTATACTAAGTTTTCCAATAATTTTGTCTCTACCTTGTAAGTGAAATTTCTCTAAATAATTTTCATATTTATTTAGAGTTCATTTTTCCTCCCTTGACCCTTTCTAGTTTCATTAGTCAAGTATAAGAAGATAAGTAGGCATGTCTATTTCTCTTTCTAATTATACACATCCAACTACTTTTTATAATGATTATATGTTGATAGTTTGAATGCCATGAGTCAACACATGTTTCTTATGAGACTATTTGAATGCAATGAGTCTATATGAATTAGGTATAATTGTTGATAATATTTTTATCCTTTCCACATAAGATTGTTGATAATTTGTTTTTATCCTTTTCACATATGATTAACATATTCAATTCGAGTATGTTACATTTTTATTTTGTTCATGTTAAAACACATTTTTGTAAATCTAAAAGTTTATTAGGCCTTCAGTTATATCCATAAGTATCATGTCAATGTCATGTCATTGTTGTAAATATGTCCACTCAGTTATATCCATAAGTATCATGTCAATGTCATGTCATTGTTGTAAATATGTCCACTAACACTACATGTTATTGACACATTTATTAATTATATTAGTCTATTTGGATTTTACATTTAGCCCAATAAGAAAAACAAACATATTCAATTAAAGGGATTAATTTATTATGTAGTGATTCATCAATGAAATAACTAGAAATTATGACCACTTATACGATAATTGTCACAAGTTTGTATTACGGTAATGTTACCATATTTTGATCGAACTGGGAAGCTATGAATGACTTCTAGGGTTTCTGTCCTATACATGACATGGAAGTTAAAGGAATCTCCTAAGGAAACCTAAAAATTTTGTGGTTCTCTCCATTCCATCTATTAGTTTGACGATGACACAAAGGAGAAATCCCAAAAAGGTTTGTCAACTAACTTGAGCAAAGAACATCACTGAGCTTGTTTGCTTGAAGCCAAGGGGTGCGATTATATTAGAGGGATTCTACTTTGGATACCTTATCTTCTTGTAGAAAATGTATTCTTTTAAACCCTTCTCATGTTTTTAGCTATTAACTGATAAACACTATATTCATGGTTCAGTCATGATGCTTATGTTAATTGTGCTTTAATTACTTATATATGATTATGATTTGAAATATACATCATAATCCAATATTGGTATCAGAGCCATATAATAATTAGCACACAGAAAATATATTTTGTAAAAACCTTGTTGAGTTATGATCTTCTACACATATATGAGAAATTATGTGTATGAAATTTACATGCCATGTTTTTTTCAAAATTATGGTTCTAAAACATGAAAAGTTGATTTCAGTGTTGTTCAATGTGTTTGAATCTTCTTATTTTGTATTAAACAATGTTTTGATTTGTTAGTGCAATTTTTGGATATTTTTATGGCATGAAAAATCATACAAAATTATGTATAATATATTTATATTTATGACATATTAAACCTGGTTTAAAAACATAAACATATTTAAACAAATATCATAGATTACATATCAAGTAAGCGGATTTGATCTTAATCAGAACAATGAATAAAATCATGTTTTATGACACACCATTGTAACATCCAAAAATTTATTACTTTTTTTTTTTTTGCTCAAAGTTGTAAAACATGAATCCCCATTCTTATAATCAGGTCATTTTTTAAAATTTAATATATCCTACAATATCAACGTACCAAACCATAATATCATCAAATTGCATAAGCATAATTATCGTTTTGAAAATTAGCATATAATAAGGTAAAATACTAGATAAATGGCATGCCCTTGAGAATGTCCAGATGTTGCAATCATGTCGATTCATTCCCCTTCAACACGTTCGACGGTCCTGCTAAAGACATTATGTAGCAACTGTAAGCTCAGGGCTTAGTGATTAATCACAACACTAACACATTATGCAAATCATATGCAATATATAATATAACACTTAAACATCATGAAAAAAATAACATATTACTTATCATCCAATCACATAACATATCTATTTACCAGATCAACTAGATCCCCCCCCCCCTCCTAGAGGCCTTTCTCTAGTTAGCCAATCCATGAACACTTCCCTCCAAGAGGCTTTTCGTGGCCTAACATCCTAATGTAATTTCATTCTACTTATTTATTTAACTAGATCCCACTTGAGAGGCTTTTTCTCTGGTTGGTTAGTCCACAACCACTTCCCTCCAAGAGGCTTTTCATGGCCTAACATCCTAATATCACATGTCCACATAATAAGAAAGTTTGTAAAAAGTCACCTGAATATATGATAAGATACATCCACACAATGAGCTACCTCCTTTGATCCACTTCATAATTATATAACCTTAACTTAGCAAATAATGTATAATACTTAACTTCATTTTCTAGAATCTTTTATTCTCTAATTCTATATGATAGGGCAAAAGACCATTTTACCCTCCATTCATGGTTTGAGACTCAATTTCAACAAAGTAGACCAAAAGTCAAACTTGTCAAAAAATGAACAGTCAATCGTCAACACGTCGAAGCCTTTCCATGAAGCACCGCGGTCATGCCGCGACAAAACAGTCGTACAAATCATTTAGTTATTGTGTTGTGGTTATTCTTAGGCCGCCATACGGTTCTTCTAGTAGAACACTTAACTTATTAAGCACTTAATCCTTACAGATCAAGGCTTAGATTTTCAAATTTGATTCTTTCTAGTGTCTTAATGAATAAAGTTTCCAACTTTATCAATCCTAATGGCTAGATCTTCCTTAATCTACAACCCTAACTTGATTAAGTCCACTAGATCTTATGATCTTGTGCATGCTTACCAAATAACATGCACACTCGTTTTTCCTCATCATTAAGACCAGGAACATGTCCTCAAGCATTCTATGCATCTGAAGTTGCTTAAACTCCAAGAGCATAAGTCAAATGGTGCAAAAAAAAAAAAAAAAAAAAAAAAAAAAAAAAAAAAAAAAAAAAACAAATCTTAGATCTAAGCACACTAGCCTTCTTTCCTCTTCAAAATCTCTCTAAGAGCCTAAAAACACACCTATAAACAAGATAGGGTTAGGGTTTCAATTCTGAAACAAGGAAGCTGGCGGATGGAAGAAACCCTAGGGTTAGCATTCATTAAATATGGCTCAAGCCCGAGATCTAGGGTTCTGAACCCAGTCGTCATCGCATCGCGATCCACTCTTGACCACGCCACTACTTAATTGGTCGTGTTGCAGCTCTAACTCACCCGCACCGTGAAAGTAAGGTTTTTTCGAAAACCTTCTACTCACAAATCAACAGTCTTTAGCTAATCAATCTTGGAACGAGTTCATGCTTAAGCAATAATTTAACAACTATTGCTAAAACTGATAGAGTTTATAATTAGGCTAAAATAATGTTGATGGATTTTTGTGACGCTTAAAACTGTCAAATATTTAATTTAGTCTAAATTGTTGCTTAATAGAATTTTGCAACGCTTTAATGTTGTCGCAAATGTGTTGAAATTACTTTTAAGTTTGTAAAAGTGTTACAATTGATTCTATGAATATGATAACATATTGTCTCGACTAGACCTATGTTTGTGATGCTATGTGTTTTTTTGTTATGCATGTAAAAAGTTAATTTTCTACAACCTGCATGTTTTTTTTGTTTGTTTTTTTTTTTTGTAATGTATTTTTCTTTTTTATTGTTGTAAATGTAATAGAGATTAGATTAGTTAGGATATTGTATATTAGATTGATCATGTTTTTTCCGGGTGATGCAAAAACGCATATGAATGAGGCAATTGTCACCATAATTGGTGATAATAAGAATAAAATGTAGGTGAAAGTAAGAGATAATTGATAAAATAATTGTATTACAATAGTCTTACATTGATTATATACCAAATAATTAAACAATTCAAGAACCTATCACATGGAAAGTCCTATGGCCCCATGAATGCATAGACTAAACACAATAAAAATAATCAACATTATGGGGAATAGGACCCAGTTAATGAAATATTCAAATCAAAGTTCCTTAAACAATCCACACCATGCATGTTTCCCTCTGACTCCCCCCATAACAATGTGCTTTTTAGCCACTTCACTTAGATCCAATATACATTCGACCAACTCAATATTCAAAATAAATCTCACCCTTTTCCAAAATATTAACACTTACCCACAAATCTTTAGATTGAAATCTTCAACTTCGACAATTTTTTTTATAATAATAATGCATTACTGTTCATCCAATCAAGAACAAACTTATCAAGAACCTTACATGAGCAAAAATATGCCATAATTTCGAGTTTCCTTACACTTTCTGATTAAATAAAGTCTTTGATTTTGTTCCCGTAGATTGACTTTTTCTTGTTGATGAACTTGAAGAACGAGAAGATAATTGTGGTTCAGGTTTAGATGCTGACGTGTATCTGCTTGATTGGCTTCTTAGCTTCTTCTCGTTATTAGAACCATCTTCGGCTCTAATTTGTCTCACTTTTGTCTCGTTTAAACCAGCAGGAAGAACACAATTGCAAAGAAAACCTTCAAAATTCAACATGATTGTATAAATCATAAGTATTGATAGTTTTTTTTTTTTAAATCATTTGAGTTACATTTTTTTTTATGCGTAAGTTATGGCTAATATGGCTTTGATAATAGAGAACTATAATTAAGTGCAAAACAAGATCCATATTTTGCGTTTGTATCATAATTTTTAGGATGTTGTTTTAACATAAAAAATTAATCTTGGTTTATGGGTTTCTAATGATCATAAACATGGGATCATGTGGGAATTCGCCTCGGTCAAACAAATTTTATTGAAAGTTGTGTGCCACACAAGAACATTAAGTCACATCAAGAAACTAATTAATGATGATAAATCTAAAGGGTATTTTAGACATTTTGATAAAAGTCATTGTCCAAACACATCTAGTTACGAAGTAGCTTGGAAGTTGAAGTTTGCTTATAAAATTCAAACTTTTAGAATGGGTAGCAATTAGCAAATGACTTCCAAGCAAAGTTCAACCAAAAGTTAAGCAAAATTTATGAATCTTGAAATGCACAAAAAAAAAAAAAAAAAAAAAAAAAAAAAAAAAAAAAAAAAAAATCGAACTATATATATTTTTTAATCTAACCATAAAAGTTTCATAAAATTTTCCAAAATACCCATTTTGGTAATTTTGTTATATCATGTTTCACCAACAATTTTCCAAATTAACCATTTTTATATCGGAAAATGATTCGTCCACAACAGTTTTTATTCGTACACAACAATTTATGATTTATAGTGAATAATACAACATTTTAAAACACAAATCAGTGTGTGGAGAAAAATTATTGTATACAAATCAATTCTCTTTTATATCACGTCAGAATGATTTATTTGGAAAAAATTTGAAGCTTTTATGGTTTGATTTGAAAAAAATGAGGTACAAATGGTCAAACCGCAAAATTGCCCAAAATCTAAAAGTTTTTTTTTTTACCCTAAAGTTATCAACAAAATATGTGTTATGGAAATAAAAATGATAAGAAATTTGGGATCTTACCAAGTCGAGCTAGTCTATTGACCCAACTAGGAATCGGCCTTTTGGTCAACCTTAAACACATATCATTGCAAAAGTGATTACAATTTCTTGTAATCAAATTATAACTATTTCCCGAATATTCTCCTGCCAATTTTTCAATAAATCCACGAACCTCTCGTGGACCAAAATCTGTTCTTCCAATCAAGATCGATTTCCTAAATGTAAATCCAGGGCATTTTCTTGGTTCCACTTCAAATATACCCGTTGTCGAATGTTCATGTGCCCCAAATGCATATTCTATACCATGAACTACAAAAAATCAAGAATCATAGTTTGTCACAATCTTAATAACGAAAAATTACCAAAAAAAAAAAAAACACAATATGTTTTGGGTAGTTATGTGGTTTATAACTTTAACCACTAAAACTTTACTTTTTCTAATGAAACCATATACGAACGTGTTTTTTCCAAATTAACCATTTTAACCTATTATATCATTCTTTCACTAGTATTTTTCCAAAGTAACCATTTTAACGTTTATACTAACAATTTAACTAGAAAATATGCTCCTAGGGAGGATTTATAGCAACAAACGTAACGGAATGTTATATTTTATGATTATTAAACATGGCCATTTCACATTTAAATTGGTTATAAAAGTCAAAGTGTACACACTAGAAAGAAAGATAACACCTCCTATCATGATTTGCGTCCTCAACAACACACAAGTAGGGTAAAAGGTTCGACATTTGATAGTGATTTGCCAGAGGGATAATCTTATTGAATTAATTCAATAATAAAGAAAACAAAAACGAAACACATTCTAAAATTTCTTACAAGATCATCGTATGTCGAAATCAAGAATCAGATGTTTCATTACACTAAGAAATGATAGCACATAACATAGCGGAATGGAGACCTCAAAGTCTTGCAATTTATTGAAAGAAAAACAGGACAATTTGTGTTTATTATTATAATCTTTTGAGAAATGAAATGAATTGAGAGATTTGTGGAGAATTTGAAGAACACAAACCTTGAACACCAGAATGATAAACACCAAGGCCAACCCAATAAGCGTAACCATTGATGGGAGTGAGATCGTATACGTTTAAATATACAGGAACAGTCCCTGTTTTCTTTTTTCTAGGAATCATCCGACACAACATCGTGTTCTTGTGTCAACCGAAGAAAATTCAATCGTCAAAATCTAGTCGAAACGTGAAAATTCGAAACTTTTCTCACTGTAGAGCATACGAAAATCCCAAATGAACGATCTTCAATTGAATTTCCGTAAAATTCTCAAAATTGAAACAAACCCATCATAACAAACTTCCATCCGCACAAAACCCACAAAAAATCTAACGAAAAGATTGAACTTTTTGATTGGGTTTGGGAAATCTTTCAAAACCCTCTTCGGTATGCCTCCATCTTCAAAAACCCAGAAACCTGTTCTCACTTTCGGCCTCTGGAATTGGAGAAAATTTGGAAGGTTTTAAGGGAATCGGAGGGATTTGAGGAGGGGTAGATTGGGATTCGGATTGTGGGTTGCTTTTTCTAATAGAAAAAGGAATTTTTCATACTTTAATTCACATACATAAGTGGAATTTGAGAAGAAATTGGGGGAATATAATTTGACTGCTTAGGTTCCATCGGCGGCTTACTATTAAACAACTTTAATTTGAAGAACCTATGCTTTTGATAATTGCTTTGGGGGTGATAGAATCGGAATCGTATTTTATACAAATAGTACTCGAGTTTTCGTGTATTAAACTGTATGCCAAACTTTTTCAGGCTGTCATTCGAGAATTGTATAAAGAATTAACTATATATTAAAGCCATCATAAGACAAAAATGGGCTTTGGAGTTGTATGTACAAGTTGTTAAAGCCTAAAACGAATCAAATCAAAAGAAAACAAGAAGGGTCGGTTTTGTTTGGTTTTATAGCGTAACGGTTCATTTTGGTTTGAGCCACATCTTTACTAAATAAAGATAAAACAAATGGAACCACATATTTACTAATCAATCTCGAATTTAGTTTTGCTAAGTAATCATTGATTTGGTCATTTTATATTTTTACTTATAGAACTATATGATTTTTTTCGTATTATGATAGGTATACACCAAACTAGTGTATATTTTGGAATGTAAATATTGTTGTTTGGTTAGGATTTGGTGAGAAGATAAAATCACGTAAATTTTTCGACGAACCAGAAAATCAAATTGTAAAATGATTATAATATACATTGTTTTGGTCAAAAATTGATCAAGTATAATTCAATCAAATTGTATGAGAGACTGGAATGTTAGTGTAATGTAAGTATCAAATGGTAATCAAAGTGAGACAAAACGAGTTACAAGGAAAGCCTTTAATCATTTGTAGGATCTCTAAAATAAAACATTCGGATGTAATAATAACCATCTGTCTTGATGTATTTTATTGATTTTAACCTGAGGTTACAAAGATTGTGAAAGTAATACAAGTACAAGAGTAATGTTAGGGCTCATCGTGTGTGTTGTGTGCTAGCTACATGTGTTATTTATAGTATGGATTAAGTAAGAAGAAGTCTGATAATTCTGGGAACCCACAGAATCAACATATGTACGTTATGTGACTTGGTATTCCCGGTATTTTGCTTAGTTGAGAGGACTCTCCGTTGAGAATGAGTCTTGTGTTGACTAGTTCTGCAAATGTGAGAAAAAAAAAAATATAGTCATTACAAATGTAATAAATATTAGTGGTAATAGTCAGGATCCGAGAATATTTTTAGGGATCATGAGGCTTTAGAAATATTTGAAGATCTTGAATACGATTCAAGGATCATGGCCCTAACAATTGCCCCAAATTATACCTGTGAAATATAACCGTTAGTGTTTAGATATTTGGAGGTATAATTTTTAATTAAAAAATAAAGTAACAGACTCCAACGGATGGAGTAATTTGAATTTCAAAGGGTAGATTTTTAGCTGTTGGAATGGATCAAATCACCCTTCTACCTTTCAATGATTTCTGTATAAATAGGATATCCATCTCCTTAGTTTTATCTCATTCTTCTAGCTTTCCTTCCGTCGTCAGTTGTATACCATCGAAGGTACTAATCTTGTTCCCTTTTTTTTTTCCTTGTCTTTAGTCATGGTTAAAAAAAATCTTCGTTCTCGCTCGAGAATCACTGATGTTCCTAATGAGGATTTCAAGGACTATAAGATTTTATCTTATGAGGAAACTTGTACCTTTAATGACGATGACACTGAGGTCCTAAAGTTGGTTGAAACTTTTCCTACCTATACTATCTTTAGGGCTTTTGATGCTAGGATCCATCCTGAATTTGTCTCTCCCTCTTGGGTTTGTTTTCCCGAATATCCTTTCACCCTAGGACTTTCTTACCCTTTCTTCGGAATCAAATATGTATTTTTCGAGATCACTAAAATCTCTTACATTCAAGCCATGCTAATGGTTTGGAGGATTCTATATTGGATCGATCATTTGAACCGCTCTAGGGATCTTACCGTTAGTTTAAATGATATAGTCTATATGATCTTACAACTTTTGGGAACTTTCGCTTCTTGTTGAAGGTCAAAACCGATAAACCGTCCCTTGTGTTGAAATCCGAGCATAATGATGGTGCTTGGAAAGGGAGATATTTCTTCGTGAAACGCAACTCGCTTCCTGATGGAAATCTTCTATCACAATCTTGGATTAAAAAAGGTAGAGTTTCCTTTTTTGTATTAAGAATCCTGACATTCACATTTCTTATTTTGTTTGATATTTTGTAGCCTTCAAGTTCAACGAGCTAGTTTTTCCTGCTGAAGATACCGAGGATAGAATCAAGAGTTTCCTAACTCTGTCCGGGTTAAAGAGGTCATTTAGGCTTGGTCAGTTTAATCGTAGAGAAAGTTCCTCTACAATCGTCTCCATGTTGAAAGGTAAGGATCCTTCCAATATTTTCCTTTTTTTATGAAGGATCCTGAATTGGTAGTGTTTCTTTTGTCGTGCTCAGGATCTAAGAGTACTCGCTCCGGTGCCTACTTCTCCTTTGCTGACCTAGATACGGCCATGTACATCGGTCAACTGGTGGTGAAGAAAGAGAAGACTTCGTCCTCACTTCCCATCATGAGAACTTTCGTAGATTTAATGGTGAAAACCCCGGGATCTAAAAAGAGAAAGAACGTCAGTGCTAGAGATTTGAGCTTGGAGAATCTCGGTGTGGAGGACACACTCCGTATGTTTGTTTCCTTTTCTCAGGCTATAAGTACCAACATCATTTTGCTTTTCACATTTTTCTCTTTATTGATTCTAATGTATTTTCTGTTTCAAGTCATTGACCATATATCTGTTAATATGAGGATTCGGGATGAGAGGGTCGAGCATGTCCTCAAAGAGCAAGAGAATATGTGGAAAGCAAATAACGAGGACCTCCTAAAAAGGGTGAAACTCTTGAGTAAAGAGAAGGGCCAAGAAAGAGGAGGAGCATGTGGCGGAGATGGCAGAGGTGATCGTCGAGGTAAAGGCCACCACTGTCTTGGCTGTTTGTGAGGCCAAGATCAAACTAGCAGAAGATGTCGCCAACATAGGATCCTGGAATCTGGCTGGGTGGAGAGCAGCCTTAGGTAAATTAAAAGGTGATCCTGCCAACACCAATAAGGATCCTGTAGGCCGCATCCGAAAGTGAATGAAGGGGAGAACACCTTAGGCAATGATGACCAAGCCATGGTCAGGGCCTATTAGATAAGAATATTTTGCATGATTTTATACAAGACAATGTTATTTCTTATGGAATTGATGTACCATTTCTTTGTTTATGTATAGTTGTTTCATATTTCTCTTCTTTCATGGACAATTTGCTTGATATGATTGTAGGATTTCTGAGGATCCTTACATAGCAGGATCCTAAAAAGTTCAAATCCTACAAGAACCTTTTAAGATTTGATTAGCCTGAAACGATTAGTCATCAAATTGGGATCTTAAAATAATCAAGATCTTTTGGGATAAATTTATTTTTTGTGTAGGAAAAAATTATTTTAAAGGATAGTAAGACCCGGTCATCCTTAGGATTTGTGACAATTTGACTCATGAGAAGTATTGAAGCTTCCGTATGGAAAATATTTTTTCTTTAGGAATTCATCAGGGAGGATCCTTAACTTAGTGAAATGTGAAGGATACCACCTTATGAATCAATTGGAAATAATGTCATCTTGGAGAAAAAATCGGGAAAACTCTTGTTTTGTATGATAATGTCACAATCCTTGCATATTTTCAGGGGGAGTATCCCAACTTCAGTCAACATGTTAATGTTATAGTTCTTAGCAGATCACTCGAAAGAAGTTCCTGTTAACCCATCTTCCAAAGATGGAAACGCCAGCGTCCCGAATCCATTTTCGGCCAATTGAAGGAAGTGAGTAGTCGAAAATTAAGGATCTGAGTTCAAACTCGAAACACCCATCTGGGTCGCCGAGGTAAAGGACACCACTGCCTTGGCTGTTTGTGTGGCCAAGATCAAACTAGCAGAAGATGTGGCCAACATAGGATCCTCGAATCTGGCTGGGTGGAGAGCAGCCTTAGGTAAATTAAAATGTGATCCTGCCAACACCAATAAGGATCCTGTAGATCCGAAAGCGAATGAGGGGTAGAACACCTTAGGCAATGATGACCAAGCCATGGTCAGGGCCTGTTAGATAAGAATATTTTGCATGATTTTATACAAGACAATGTTATTTCTTATGGAATTGATGTACCATTTCTTTGTTTATGTATAGTTGTTTCATACTTCTCTTCTTTCATGGACAATTTGCTTGTTATGATTGTAGGATTTCTGAGGATCCTTACATAGTCAGGATCCTAAAAAGTTCAAATCTTACAAGAACCTTTTTAAGGCTTGATTAGCCTGAAACAATTAGTCATCAAACTGGGATCTTAAAATAATCAAGATCTTTTAAGATAAATTTATTTGTTGTGTAGGAAAATTTTGTTTTAAAGGATAGTAAGACCTGGTCATCCTTAGGATTTGTGACAATTTGACTCATGAGAAGTCTTGAAGCCTCCGTATGGAAAATATATTTTCTTTAGGAATTCATCAGGGAGGATCCTTAACTTAGTGAACCGTGAAGGATCCCACCTTATGAATCAATTGGAAATAATGTCATCTTGGAGAAAATATCGGGAAAAATCTTGTTTTATATGATAATGTCACAATCCTTGCATATTTTCAGGGGAGTATCCTAACTTCGGTCAACATGTTAATGTTATAGTTCTTAGCAGATCATTGGGGAAAATCACAAAACATATGATAACATGAAAATGTTATAAATCTTAACTATTTATGGGGAAGACACCAACTTTGGATAACACATAGGTGTTATTAACCTTAATAAATCACTGGGGAAGATCCCAACTTAGGATAACATATAAGTGTTATAGACCTTATGTTTAAGCATTAGGATCTTGATATATGTTCAGAAATACGAGGGTTACCAAGTCACTAAAACGTGAAATGATTCCCTTATTCACATCCACAGTAAGATTTTGTGCGTCAAAGAAAGGTGTAGAAACCTTAACTTGTATGAAAAAGGTAATAAACTCTTTAAACCTTAGAGGGGATTAAGTACCCTTAGTCACAGGAGAGATGACCAGTCTTTATTTGTAGTTATATGGATAAGTACTTATTGCAATTGTCAAGACTACATTAACATGTATATATTGGGATCTCTGAATCCTAGGATCCTCGAACATCAGGATCATCAAATGTTATGATCACTACATGTTAGGATCGTTGAATGTTAGGATCTTTTATTTCATGTGCAAATCAAAATGTTAGCTTGGGGTGGGCATTAGCCTGACTAAGCTCTTTCGATGCTTAATTCAGTATTGGACTTCATAATAATAAAAAGAATCAGAT